CACATGCGAAGAAGTGCTTGCTCTCCTACTGAAGGTAGACGAGAGGAAGGCCACGGGTAGCGACGGAATTCCCTGCTATGTGTTGCGACACTGCGCTCGGGTCCTGGCCCCGTCACTGACTATCTTGATGAACGCGTCACTGGCCATGGGAAAGGTTCCGATGATGCTGAAATTGGCCCATATTCGCCCCATTTTCAAGGCAGGAGACCCCGAAACTGCTAAGAACTACCGCCCTATATCTTTGCTCCCGGTTGTTTCAAAGATCCTGGAAAGGATTGTGCATAAAAGGCTCTGTGTGCTCCTAACCGAACATGACCTCCTTCCTGCCGAGCAATTCGCTTACCGAGCCCACCACTCCACAGAGGAAGCAGTCTTGTTGGCTGTAGATCAATTTTACGAAGCCGCAGACCAGCACCTGCATACCGGCGTGGTGCTCATTGATATGAGCAAAGCTTTCGACAAGGTCCAACATCAGACCTTGCTCCAGGATCTCTTCGAACTTGGTGTCTCCTCTACGGCACTGGACTGGTTTGCGGACTACCTCAGCTCACGACGCCAGTGTGTGGTCACTGCCAACGGTACACGCTCAGAGGAAACAGCTTGCACGTGCGGTGTCCCCCAGGGAAGCGTGCTTGGTCCGATATTATTCGCGATCTACACGAGATGTGTCGCATCAGTAGCTGACCCGGTGCGTACACTAATGTTCGCGGACGACATCATGCTGTACCTGAGCCACGCTAGCGCTCACGCCATCAACATCACCCTTTCCGCAGCAGTGTCGGCTGTCGCCAGGCTACTCGATGCCAAAGGGCTTATCCTCAACACCGGAAAGACGCAAGTGCTTGCAATCAAAGCTGGACGGCAGGCACACCTCGACCTCCACATTACTTGCACTGGCACGCCTCTTGCCCAGACCAGTACGGCTCGCTACCTCGGAGTCACTCTGGACGAAAATCTTCGCTGGTCACCGCAAGTCACCTCTATCGTCCGACGCACGGCTATGAAGCTGCGGATCCTCCGCCAGATCCGGCACTGCCTAACAGTGAGGCAGGCGATGCTGTATTACTCTGCCCTTGTCATACCGGATATTCTATATGCGTCGAAATCGTTTCTCCCAGGACTGTCCGCTGAGCAGCGGAACACAGTAGCCAAACTGGATAAACGTTGTATCCGTTGCGTGGCCGATGAGCACCCATTGGCCCACACTCTTCCCCTGTACACCAGGCTGGGTGTCTGCTCAGTGCTGGAACGAGGAGAATGCAAGCTCCGACTCCTGACATTTAGAATCCGTTCTGGAATCGTCAGTAAGCTGTTGTCGTCCCGAATTGTATTGCAAGGCCCGCCGACAGGTATGACCACTCGAGGTCAATTGGGACGCAACATTCCCCTCCCCCTGGCCCACAGTGCTTCTGGCGCATGCCGACCGCTTCTAGCCAGCTGCCGACTCTGGAATGGCCTGCCCGACTGTATGAAGTCCATAGTATCTGTCCGTGAATTCAAACGCATGCTGCGCGTATTTTACTTCGGTTAAATGTAATGGCTTTTGTAACCTGCTGATGAGGCTTGATAGAATCATGCTACGATGACCCGACTTGTAAATTTGAGATCCATTTTTTTCTGCTCGTCTTGACCCTGCCTCCCCTCATTGCTACTTCCATTTTCGTATTTCTATTTTCATTTATTTTTCTCTTCATTTCTGACTCCTCTTACTGGTTGTCATCGCTTCCATAATATTGGGCAGAACTGCCCGTTTGCCTTGCGATGTAAAATAAATAAACAACAACAACAACAACAACAACAACACAAGAGTAATTTCATCTCCCGCATTGCTGAGTGCGACAATCCAGTACAGGTTACCTGTGACGTTGGGGATGGTTTCTGTGACGCCCGTTCTCTCGTGTCTACCAGTAAGAGTGTGACGATCGTGATCAACTGTGAGATGAATGCTGTCACCAGTTTTCCACGGTTGACCAAGGGCTGTTCCGGTGTGGTACTCATAGGCACTAGCGCCATACCAACCAAAACACTGTGTCTTGTCCTGTTGGTATTGTTCCAGGTTTGGATTACTGGATGAACAGGTAGAGAGGAAGAGGTTTCCACTCTGGGTCTTGTCAATGCTCACCTTCAGCGTACTACTACCAGCATTAGTGACCATCAGTGTGGTACATGCTGATGACCAACCAGCACCGGTCGTATTCAGTGTGCGACCATCATTGGTGATATTCAACTGGCTGCCACCGCGATTTCCATCAAACCTCGGAGTCGCCGACACCACCAGCTTCTGTGGACTACCCTTCAGATGGACACAACTAATCTTGGCTGAGATGTTGTAGTGGCCAGTTTGCAATGGAGTAGGTTGGGCCTGTATTTTTCCGGTAGCAGGTGTAAGCTGTGTACACACGGTGGTTGTGTCCTCATCGAGACCGGATATTGATATCTCCAGTCCAATGTTTTCCAGTTGCTCTTGCTCAACGATACTTGGGACAGCACTGTCTGGTAGCTCTATAGAGATGTTCAAATGGTCGTTAGGATGGGCATCGTCGGTACTCTTCAGTGTGCCATCAGCAACATCCAGCACTGCTCCTGTCTTGCTGATGTCATTGAGTAGGGATGTGGTGTCCGTCGTGCCAAACACAATGCCGCTGGTGATACATGGCTCTTTCTCATCCTCTGCAGTTTTCATGGTTTTCACGATAGACATATCCACCCAGGACCACACACGGAGAAGCTCAACATCGTCCTCAAACGACTGCAGAATGCTGGCAGCACTCTCTCCTTTCGACACACACTCCTGAAGTTGGTGTAGTTGCTTCTCCAGAGGTTCCAGTTTCTGCAACCTCAGCTGATCCAGCTCGGATAGAAGAGAGGCCTCTCGCTTCTTCACAGCCTCCATCAGTGGCTTGAAGAAGTTAGATACCTTCTCTGAAGCAAACTCGGTTTGACTGTGTACCATTCGAATGTTCTTCTCCACGGTCTCTATGGCACTGCTGACAACACCATCACATTCTGATGTACAACTGCGCAGCTTAGTGGAAAGTGTGTCACGAGTGTTTTGTGCAGCACTGGCAATATCCATCACAGTGGTGTCTTCATCATGTCTGTGTGCTCCAGTGTGCATGCAATATGCACACAATAGCTGATTGCACTCCAAGCAAAACTGTTTCAACACTTCATTCGTGTGAAGAGCACATCTATGCTGAACCACTATGCCACTGCTGTTGCCACTGCTTGTTGACTCTGTGGAGGATGCAGACAACGTCATCACTGTGTGACCTTTGCCAGATTTACACATGGGATGGGCCCAGTGTAGTCAATAGATCTGCGGGTTGCAGTTCATCAACATAAGACAATAATCAAGTAACAGTTTTGTCTTCGAGTATAACGACACTCGGCGACTGTTTCCTTCTTTGTAGTGTGTGTAAATGAGGCCGCGCCTCAAACTGATAAGTCAGTGATCGTGAGCTCTGCATCCAGCTCAGGTAGATGGGATTTTGCATGCTCTGGGCATGGAAATTCTGTCGTTATTCGCGTATTGTCGTTATATCCGCAGTCGTTGTAGCGAAGTTGACTGTCTGTAGTCTGTACTACTTAGTAACCTTGGTAACTAACTACCGTACTCGCGCGAGCAGCGCCCCTGGGGCACTATTTTTTTCAATGTCCATCACAGATAGGGCAGTATTCAAGAGAGGGCACAATTTTTTCATTGCTGGTACATTTGCGTCATCCAGCATAAACCAAAGAAAAACAGAGCCTAAAGTGTACTGTATACGTGTAAACGCTCACGACTCCACAGAAACAGGAACAAGACCTGCGATTTTGTTCCTGAAAACACCAGTGCAAAGCAATGGCCAAGAACATTAGAAAAAGAACACCAAACTACTTGCACATGGGCTTGGTTACAAGACCGGGGTGGGGAGCACTATTCAAGAGAGGGCTTTATTTTTCACTTGCTCTTGGAGACTAGGGCACTATTCGAGAGAGGGCACTATTCGAGAGAGGGCTCTAATCGCGCGAGTACGGTACTAGTATGCGAAGGACTAAAGCCTAAAGGCTAAACTAGTACAGGGCAAGGCCTTTCCTTCACGTTAGGGTAGCGATCCTTCCTAGATGCTATCGCCATTCATTGTTTCTTTTTACTACAATGAGTCGTGTTTCTCCGAAAATAAAGTCAGCTGCCATTAGGCATTACTGAGTATAGAGTCAGTACTCTCACAACAGTCAGTAGCGGCTCGCCTAGCTAGGCCTAGGCGCCTAGCGCCTGGACTTGTAAAAATTAATTATTTTGCAAGTCTTCAATCATGTTTGCATGTACGCGCTATCCAGCCATGTGGCGTGAACAGATTGCTTGATCAATTGACGTGAAAGGTAGCGAGTCGTAGACCCGGGTGCTCGAATCAGAAACGATTTGACAGGTGTGAAATTTCTCATTTGTAAATCTCAACAATGTCAGAATATACTTTTGGAGAGGCGATGGAACAGGGAAGGGAGTCTGGCTTGACCCACCCAGCAGGAATTCAGAACCTGGGTGCGCTACAACACAATTACAAGCTACAGTACGCAGTAAAATGGTCGTATTTCCTTTGGATTTTTTATTTGAAAATTGGGTGCTCGAATCAGAAACAGCAAACTCGTCAGATCGTCTCCGATTCAAGCACACGGGTCTACCATCGTCTACGCTTGGTGTGGCATTCGAGGGCAGGTAGCAGTAACTTACTACTTCGTTTTTGAGAGCAAGAAGGTCATTTCGACAAGTACTCTGCCTCTGATGTCAGTGATGATACCACAGAAACCACAGCATGTAACGACACGCAAGCAAACTCTGCATCCCTTTCGGAAGTGGAAACAAATGTGCACGCGCCCTCAGTCAGCGATGGCTCTGAAATCAACCATGCCTGCTGATGACCATGCTGCACATTGCCTTCTTGAATGTATGTAGTATCAGGCGCAAGACAGCCGAAGTGCAAAAGTTCTTGTCAAACAGAGGCATTCATGTCTTTGGT